GGAAAACTCCTCGAGAGGTTTCCTGCCGCGTCGGTGGCTGTGTCCCTGCCGTTCCCGCGGGTCCCACTCAGCCCGGTGGTGGTGAGCACCCATCTCTGGGTGTGGGTGGGGGCTCGGAGCTGTCGGTAACCCCAGGACACTCTCTGTTCCTCTTGCAGGTGAACCCTCCCGCTGGTCCTCGTCCCACTGCGACTGCTGCTGCAAGAACGGCAAAGGCGACAAGGAGGGAGAGAGCGGCACGTCCTGCAACGAGCTGTCGACCTCGAGCTGTGACAGCCAGTCGGAGGCCAGTTCCCCCCAGGAGACTGTCATCTGCGGCCCCGTCACCCGCCAGCCCAACATACAGACTCTGGACCGACCGGCCAAGAAGGGGCCGGTGCAGCTGCTGCAGCAGTCAGAGATCCGGAGGAAGAGCGACCTGCTCCGGACTCTCACCTCCGGCTCCCGGGAATCCAACTCCAGCAAGAAAAAAGCGGTGAAGGAGAAGCTCTCCATTGAGGAGGAGCTAGAAAAATGTATCCAGGATTTCCTCAAAATCAAAATCCCAGACCGGTTTCCAGAAAGGAAACATCCCTGGCAATCCGAACTGCTGCGGAAATACCACCTATAGGCTCAGGTTGGGGAAAGCACACAACCTTATTACCATTAGAGTGAGGTTCTAAGTGATATGAAAATAATTCCCAATAATAATTATTTATTAGGTCACCAAAAAAAAAAAAAAAAAAGAAAAATCCATCTCTCTAGTACTGCCTAATTTGCCTATTTCACCTTAACATTGATAGTCGTAGGGTAACGATGTTTTTCCAGTCGTGGAAGCACAATGACAAACGCTTTTATTTATAAACTCTGAGTCTTACACAAGCTGAACACCTTAAGGGCACGAGCACACCGCCGAGCAGGGCTGCTGGGGTGCGGGTGCTGGCGGTGGGTGTGTGGGGCAGGAGCAGGGACAGGGACAGGGGCAGGGGCAGGGTCCGGGGTGGCTGCAGGCTGCGTGCCGCCGCCTGCTCCTCATGGTGCGTTTGGCTGGAGGGATGTAGCCAGCTCAGAGAGACAAGCTCTGCCCTGACACTTTACCTTAAGCACGTGTATATATATATATGTGCATATATATATATGTGTGTACATATAGCTCTGTGTATATATATATGTGTATATATATATATCAATATATATTGCTTAAAGAGTTTCTGGCTCTCTCCTTATAACTGCACTTTCTCAGAAAAGAGCATTTTTTTAGCCGTCTGTGGATGTTCCGTTTCTTCTTCAGGTCTTTGAGGGTTGAACAGTAGGAAACCCATCTCATGCTCTCTCCCCACTCCCTCTCTCTTTTTTTTCCCCTTTTCCAAGACACTGTAAATGCATTTCAGTGGAGACCAGGGAACAGCGTGCCAGTCTTTGTTGCCATCAGCGAAATATTCCATTTGTTTTTGATGATCTTGTTCCCTCTGTGCTCTCCCCACGACTCGTGTTGTGTTTCTCAAGGCTCCCCAGTGCCAGTGGGTTGGTTAAAGGCGTGATGATCCCAGTTGGAAAGCTGGAGGAATTCCAGGCTGGAGTGTGGTGGCAGCAGAGTGGCTGGGCTGATGAGGATGGTTGATTTCTGCAGCCTTGCCCAGTGTGTCTGTCTGAGGTGTGTGGCTGAAGCTGGCAGGGGGAGCAGGCACTGGCTCCTGCCCTGCACAGAAGTGAGTGTAGGAAATGATCCATCTCATGAGCCCTGTTTAGTGCTTTGTCTGGCAGGGAATTGGCTGGTAGAGGATTGGAGCAGGGTTGTTCCAACCCTGTCTGTTTCAAGAGAAAATTTTAT